AGCCTCTACCATCAAAACGACTCGCTTCCTACCTTGGTTCCGTCGAGGAAGGCCGACAGCTCTCCCTTGCCGCCGCTGATCACCCTTTTCAGGATCCCCTCCTTACTGAGCCTCGCTATCTGCTCCTCCATGACTGTAACCCTCACTCGGTAAAGCTCGGCTCCACTCGGCTTCAGTCGGGTCTCTCTGATCGACTCGTGATGAATCGTGTCGGATCGAGTCTCTCCGTTGTATAAACAGCTCTATACTGTACGGGCAACACCCTACAGCTTATAAACATGAATCAACAGTGTTGGAGATGACAAATACTTACTAATATTTAACATTAACTTACCATAAATACACTATTTACAGTATAAATGTGAACATAAAATGAAAAGGTTATGGATATAGTGGTTACAAAATTGATGGGTGGATGAAAACATGACCTAAAAATGATACAAAATATACTCCACAGAATGCATCTCCTCACCACACCTACCCACTGCTCTGTCTGTCAAAGTAGGGCTGTGTTTTACTACATCTCAGTGCGTCCTGGAGCTGGTGTCAGTTTGTCTCGGTGTCTCAGTGTGTGTCTGTGTTAGTCTGTCAGTCTGGAGCTAGTATCAGTGTGTCTCAGTGTTTCCTGGAGCTGCTGGTGACAGTGTCTCAGTGTGTCCTGGAGCTAGTGTCAGTGGGTCTCAGTGTGTTAGTGTCTCCGAGTGTCTGGAGCTGGTGTCTATGTGTCAGTGTCTCAGTGTCGCTCTGTTCTGATGACGCGGACACCGATTGGCAGACGAGCCAGTAGCTGCACAGACTCCTATATCGATTATTCGTGCCTTTCTGTGTTTCTTCAAACCAGACATCGCCTGTCGATCGCCGTTCTGGAAAGAGGAAAAGTTTGAGAAGTTTAAGTTTTGGAGTGCCGGGGTTGTGCCGGATCTGCGAAAAATACTTAATGATTTGTTTTGGTTTTTGAGTTCAGGACTGCAACACTCGTTGAAGGAGGAGAAGCAGTCAGGATCGAACGGTGCTAGGACCGGATACGCAAGCGGGAAAGAAGTAAGACCAGTTGGGACTGGGGCTCCCAGTTCAATACGTTATCATACAGTAACACGTACAATACACCGTGAACAAATACCCACAACAGACCATACAGTACACCTGAGTGTCATGTTATACAGTAACACGTACAATACACCCTCACCAAATACCCACAACAGACCATACAGTACAGCTCGGTGCATTATTATACAGTAACATGTACACTTCAATATACAGTGCAGTACAGATTGCAAAACCTACACCATGGTACAGCACAGTATACTGTACTTTATTATAGCAAGCTGTGCCAACACAACAGTATAATATTTCACAATTATTAATGCCTTCAGTAAATACAGTTTACAGTTATTTGTGCCTACACTAAACACTCCATAGTACTCATCCTACAGGAAACTATACTTAGAATCATCCCATGATGCAGTAAACTAAGTCTACAATGCAGTAAACTGATTCTACAGTATAATACTGTGTTATACAGTAAACTACACCTACAGCAAGGCACTAAATTCTACCCTGCGATAGTCCGTTATACAGTTAGCAGGACTGTTGGACTGTTGATGTGGTTTAGTGTATAATTCAGTGTGCGGTGGTGCTGCACTGTTCAGTATTACTCTAGAACCTCCAGACAGCACTATGCCAGCTGCAGTCAGGGCCGTAGGACTTGTACCTCGAGCGGGGGTGGTGTTTTGGGGTGTTCAGGCTGACCTTGTTCATGTCCCCCTCAGTGTCAGTTTCGGGCGGGCGACTATAGTTGCCATGGCGACTCAGTTCAATATTGACGACGCCTTCTCCCTGGACGGGGACGAGGAGGCCGAGGTCGGGAGAGAGGGGGCTGAAGGCGGTTCCAGGTTTGGGACGCTCAGCTTCACACGACAGTCTGCCAACACGGGACCAGCCAAAACTGCGAACACGACCATCGGGGTGTCTTCCTCCGCACAGGCTGACCAGTCCAGCCTGAAATACCAGGTACCAGGGGCACAGGGGACAGGGGACTGGGGACTGGGGACAGACACTGGAACAGGGGAGAGAGGGAGAGGACACTGAC